TCATGCAACTAACATGTATAATGATTTCTGCAGGTGGCATTTCAAGCGAAGGTTGGGAAAAGGTACCAGCTTCCTCATAAAGGGATCATTCCTGAAGAGTTTGGAGTGGTACATTATTAACCTGTGAAATGAATTATGTTAACTATTAACATCTTTTTTGCCATTTTAAATCTCATTAAATTGAAGATATTATTTAATTTTTAAATCAGGTTGCTACATATAAAGGACAAGGAAGGCTTGCTGAGCCAGGGTTTCGGAATCCACGATGGGTTGATGGTGAACTCGATATCCTCGATGGAAAGGTTTTTTGAGATTTCTCTTGTCTGGTCTAGTTGTTTTCTTCCATATCTCCTGCATATTCCTTGAAAGCAATTTTGTTTATTTCTGTTCCAAATGGATATTTGATCATTCAGTGCATAACATTTGATTTGCAGTACATCAAAGGGGGACCTGTTGTTGGATTTGTTTACTGGGCTCCTGAATATCATTTCTTGGTGTTCTTTAATCGGTTGAGGCTTCAATCTTAAGTCTCTTTCAACTTAATGTTTGAGGTTGCTCATTCTTGGTTCCTATTTTCAAGGTTAAGTACCAAAAAGTTAGGCAGTAGTTACTCATAATTTTTTGCTTCATTATTATTGGAATATATCCATATTATATTATGTTTTTATCTTATAAAATTTAGTTGATAGATATGCTCTTTTAAGTGTAGATTTTATGTGGAGCAATTGGCTTGCTCTGATTCAGTTGACCATTAGCTAATTTGTTGGTAGTCAGTCTCTCTCACTCTTTCTCTCTCTCTCTAAAAAAAGAATAGAGCTCTTAGTTTATTTTTGAGTTCAACTTACATTGATGTATTGAAAAATAGCAAGTACTTTTGCCCTTTATATAGCGCCATCAATAATAAGCATACAAAATTTATATGGAAATTAAAAAGAAAAAATATAATTAAAAAGTACTTGCTATTTTTCAATACATCAATGTAAGTTAATATAATTAAGATTTATCTTATTTAGTTATGGCATACATACTTTCCAAATACCAACTCTAGACTATGTGCAGGCACATGACCATTGTGAACTTATTTAATTTCTGAAGTAGGCATTAATGATAATTATGTGAATCTGTTGCTCTAGAGGGTTTTCAATTAGTGGCATTCTTCCTGTTTTTGGCAGCCAGAAAAGAATTTTTAGCACTGGTATTTGCTTATCTGTTTTAAAGGAATAGATTATCGATGGAGAGTGTTTAGGATCTTCGGGTTCTATTAGTCAAAATAAAATGAAGAAGAAAATGTTCTCTTAGATAATCTGTTTAAAAGTTGTCAGCATCTTAAGCTGAAGATTCTGTTATTGTCTTGATTTGCAGTTTTGGTGATATTTTTGCCAAAAATTCTCTTCCCATACTGGGTAGTGGAGAACCACCAGAGATTGGACCTTATATTCATTTCTCACTTGTTGATCAACTTCATTGATGAATAGCATAGAAGCGTTGACATGGACTGCTCTTTGTGCTCTTCTATTGCTTGGTCTCAGGGACAGATTTTCACCAGTGTACGTGTTCTTACAGTTTCTAACTATTAAACTCCTGTATAGACAATCAAGTTTGTAGCTTTAGTTTTTTGTGCTTTCTCAAGCCTAACTGGTAGAAAATCTAGAGTTAGAGCTGTCAGTTATGTGGAGCATACACCAAAGTTGGCATAAGCTTGTCAGTTAATTTATTTTATAATGATAGTTGATGGATTTATTTACATCAAGTGCTTTGTAAATATCTCTTTTCCTTTAATAATGATAGAAAGAAAGGTTCTTTTTGAGATTTTCCTCCTTAACCACATTTTTTATTGTATTGTATTTTTAATCATGAAATTATAGTGGTGAAGCTGGTCTTCCTCATCTATGTATTTTGTTCAAGAGTCATCCTCATTTTGATGGAGAAGATCTTGGGGATCTCATAGATATTTTAACAATGGCCTTTGTCTTAATATTTATTGTACATGAGGACACGCCCTTGCCTTGTAAATAATATTCTCTTCTAAAAAATGTTTAGGAATGAGCTTCCCTTGTCTTTTGAGTGCTTCTTAAATTTTATCTTAAGTTGGTATTTTAAGGAAGAAATATCTAAGGCGAAAATATTTTGCTTTAGATATTACAACATGGTCGGAAAACTAAAAAATTTAGGTGCTCAAGGGTGGGGAGAAGGATTGAAGAAGGAAAGGGAAGGAGGTGATGTCACTTGTCTGTTATACGGGAGATTTTTATGCAAATGTTTGCCAGGTGTATGAATCTGACTTCTTTTAGAAGTCTTTTCCTGTATACATTGGTATCTTTAGAAAAGTTTCCCTATAAAGCAAGATCATAGTCGACTTTCATAACTGGAAGTTCTTTTCCTTTTATGAGATTGATTTGTCTTTAGTTTTATATTAAAATTCTCTTTAATTTTCTCATATATATATATATATATATCAAATTGTTGCAAATTAAATATCATAAATAAAAATTTAGAAAATTAAAAATTTCATTACAAATTTTTTATAGTATCAAAGCAAAACCTCTAAGCCCAAAAAAACCTTTTTTTCTCCTCATGCTGATGATTAAATACGGAATCACCATGACAAGAACCAATGATCTCTCTGAAGTCCAATCTTAGTCTGATAGAATTATTTCTATCAACAATCCAATTGGAAGCCACTTAAATTTGATCACCAGACACGAGCTAAATGGAAGTAGTTATGTTCAATGGTCTCAATTGGTCAAGATGTTTAATACCTCACCGGAGAAGTCATCCAATTGAGTGCCAAAGACCCAAAGTTTCGAATTTGAAAGGTTGAGAATAATATGGTCATGTCGTAACTAATTAACTCCGTGACAAATGATATGAGCAAAAATTTCTTGTTGTACAAGACAGGGCATGAAATTTGAGAAGCAGCCAAAAAGTTATACTTGAGTAAAGAAAACATATCGGAAATTTTTGCCATTGAATCTAGCCACCACAATCTACGACAAAGAGATATATTTGTAATCTAGTACTATGGTATGCTCATTCATCCCTGGACAATGGCTCAATGTGTTTGAGGAACTTGCATGGAGCTGTCCAGATGAAGTAAACAATCTAGAGAAATTTTGGGAAGAAAAAGAATTTTCAATTTTTTCATAGGATTGAATGAAAATTTAGATGAAACTTGAAGAAGAATACTTGAAATGAAACCATTACTTAGAATTTGTGAGGTATTCCCGAAGTAAAGAGAGAAGAAAGCAGAAAAAAGATAATGTTGAGAGATTGATTCACAAGCCCTACTATTGAGCAAAACTCTGCCTTGACTGTCCAGGACCTTCCTCCCAACTCAGACAACCGACAAAGAAAGAGAAGACCTTGGTGTGATTATTGTAAAAAATCAGGTTGTATTCAAGACAATTGCCAGAAAGTTCATGGAAAATGAGCTGATTTGAAGAGCACAAAATCAGCCACAGACATGTTTGGACCCGATTTGAATTTTGAATTTTTCGGGTTTTGGTCTGGGTTCGGACCTCATCTTCTCAACCCACTTCCCTCTCCTCGCTGGCCACCTTACAGCTTTGGCAAAAGAGCCTCCATTCTTCATTTCCAGCCGTAGTTTCAGCTCAGCCTTGCAAGACAGACAACATATCGTCTCTGACGGCCCTGTTTGAGCCACAGAAACACCTCTATCCTGGTTCTTAGTCTCCTCTTCCCTCTTCTTTTTTTCTGTGCACCTCCACCCTTATTCCAGCCACCTCATGTTGAGCCAACATCAGATTCCACCACTCATCAGCCATCTCACAATCTGGCACAAAAATACTCCGGTAGTCACCTTGAACGCTCTCTGAGAAAACCAGCAACTGGCCTCTTGTGTTCCGACCCAACACCATTAGTAACGAGCATTGACTGTCCCTCCGGCTCCGCGCCCACGTTTCTTCCCCCTTCACCCAGAAGAACTCCTTGAAGCACCTTACCAGCCACTCTACATCCTTCTTGTCGAAAAAAATGGAGGTCCACAAACCCCTTCCATTTTCAGAAACCTTATCCCATTATGGCCAACCTCCTCTCCAACGACATCAAACATTTTCTGGTTAATAACCAGAAACCGCCTGTTCCAGGCCAA